TTAGAACAACCCTCATATATATATATTGTACACACACGGGTTCACTTCCCGTTTCCTCGCCTACGGTGCTTGAAGAACAGAGTTGAACCCCTGTGTCGGGGTGCGAGGCCCTGTGTGCGACTCTGGTGCGCCGGATGTAAAATCAAACTCAAGTGGACACGATCATGATCAACACGGCTCCACAAGACTCCACCAAACGGTGCGAGCGATTGAACGGCCTCTGACTCTCGGCAAGTTAACTAGATATCTTTCTGGACTCGGGCCAGACCACTGCTCCTGCCCACCAAAGAGAAGGCTTCACCGGCAGCAGGGCGAGAGGGAGTAAAGCTGCAGCTATCAATCGTGATGTTGTTTTCACGATTGCAACTTCCATGTCGCTTCAACAGCGCAACATGCCAATAAGACGCCTGGGAGACTCGGTCGGTCGGGTCATACGCCAGGCGGAACGTGGACAACGGTGTCATGTACAAGTCTGGCTACTTCACGGTGACCGTCCAAACCTTCAAATGCTTTCCTACAGTAGTTTCACTGATTCACTCACGTCTCGGCCTCCCAACTCTTCTGACAATCTGCCGATTGCAAGTGCTCCATGGGATGATGGAAGTTTGGTGCATCAAATGGTCACGTGAGCAGAGACTTGTCCAAAAATGCCTTGGGAGAGTCGAACATGTTAAAGAAATATAGCTTCGCTACTCTCCGAGGCTCTTTTTGAAGCATCGTTTCGGTGTCCATGCGATGGGCTCTCCCCGACAATCGCACACATCACCTCCTCGTGCACTGAAGCTCTCTAAGGCTCTAAGGTCGCTTCACCCCCGATGGTGGACGTTGAGCCTGAGGCCACCTACTTGTCTATGCGCGGCCTAGGTATGAGGAAAGAGCACACATACACACACAGAGCCGTCTCCTCGCACTCCTCTCAGACTCCTCATGTACCATCACCATGCATCACCCTTCCTCACTCGCCCAGTCGGGCAGGCAGCGGTTCTTACCACCTCTGGCCATCAGACTGGCTCACGTTGCTGGCACGCAGCAAACTCTTTCGGACGGAGTCAGGCTGCTTTGGTGCCCCCTCCTCATTTGCCAAGCTCTGCTCGGACGACAGCTGCACGACAACACCGAACAACTCGTCAGCGAAACCCAGCCCTTCTGTCGCCCCGTCGCATCTACCTGCCCGCAACAAACAAATGGCGAGTCTGGCTTGATCTACGGCGGACCTCCGTGGCACTGAGTGACTGAGTGACGCACCAAGGCATTCGCTAAGGACTCCGGGCCTGCTAAGCAGGCTGCTAGTAGCGAATTTGCTCACGAGCAAGCAGAAGCTGCGCGAGCTGGGAATTCAGCCGTCAGTGGGAACTGCGGCCCAGTCGAAGCTTTCCTGCATGCACGGCTCATTTCATACTCGACATGGCTGCATGTGGCTGTTTCGAAGACCCAGAAGCAGCAACACCTCTCTGACTGATCTAGGCGCTTCAACAAAGAAGCAGCAATCCTGACCAGCTGTCGCAGCATTCTGCTCATGCAGAGAGGCAGCCAAGTGGATCTGCACTGCCTGGTGGAGATCTGGACTAGTTCTCACATGAATGTTCAGCCTGCTACCGGAAGAACGAACAAATTAAGTCGCCTTGAGCTGCAAGCATATAAGCGCGGCAAGCTCATTGGCTACCAAATGGCGCTGGTGGCGCTTCCCTTTGAGAAACAGGCGTGCCTCGTCAGTAACCGCTTCAAAACCGAATGGCCAAGGCCAAGGACGGCACCAAAATGATTCCGAGACTGGGACACATTGGAGGTACATGGAGAGGCAAAGCAGGAGCTGCTCCTCCCCATCCTGTTCTAGAAAGCCAAATCCACACCCAATTACTAGTCCGCATCTTGGCTACCCAGTCTCCTCAGAGCAGATGTCTGTCCATTTTCGGCCTGACATGCGACTGGTGGCGAATCAAAGTTCAACACTCCACGTATCGCACTGCCATTACACCAGACGAAGCCAGCACCGTGCCTAGACGCAGTGCCACTTGGCCAGCCTGGCAGCACAAGGAAAAGGGCCTGGTCACCCAACCTATCACTTTCTCAGACGATTGAAGAAGTGATTAACTAGTGCAGGAAGCTAGTACCTGCCGCAGGCGCAGCTCTGACGCGAGACGCTGAAGGCAATTCCGAAGAACGTACGGCAGTCTTGGAAGAATATTGCTGTTCTGAAGTCGTTCGTGGTGCGAGGGCGATTGTTCCCTCGGCTGACCGCCATTATCAACACTTGTGTCAGAGACAGCGTCGCTGCTGTCAACATTGACACTATGCACTGCAATATACTGATACTGCAATCTTCATTGTGGTCACCAGACAGCTGGCAGTAAGATCGGCATACGAATATGGCTCGTTTCCCGCCGCAGCTTCCGTCCAGGTCCAGGGCGTCTGCTGATGAAAACAAGTAGAAAAAGCGAAAAGCAAACACTGTTGTGACTGTCTCAGTATGTCGAACCGCAAACAAAGTGCACCTGCAACGTGGACAAATCCAAATCCAAAACCAAGCCATTCTCTGCCACATGGAGTGGTAACAGTAAGCAATTCCGACCAGCAGTTGACCACTTGGTATGCACACTAGTCCGTACGTTTGCTTTGGATGCACCATTTGCACGGACCTCTTTGCTTTAGGTGCAGGCACCTCCCGTCCCCACAATCCCCTGCCAATATGGCAACTTGTGTTCCGTGCTGGATGTCCTTCTATGAGGGACATGTTGAAGTGTAGCTATTATTGATGAGATGCGAGATGTCTGAAGTCGAAGTCGTCGACCTGCAAACCTCACGAGGTGTCCTCGGGTGTCATACGATACAAATCCTGGACGGATCCCAACAAACTTGGCGGACGGCCCCAAGTTGCGTGTATGCGTTCTTGTAGCTTGTAATGATGCAGCGCATGCATGCCATCAGCAAAACAGAACTCTGAGGAAGGCTGCTGCCTGTGTCGGACGGTGCTACTGCGCCGGTCCGAAAGTTCGTC